TGGCCTGTCACCCCCCCCTGCTGGGGCTGCAGGTGGGGACACGGGTGGCCTGTCACCCCTCTCCTGTGTCCCCAGCCCTGCCAGCCTCCCGAGCGCCACAGCCTGGACATCCTGGACAAGCTCGTCCTTGGGGGGCTGCTGGAGGAGGAGGAGGTGGGTGTCACCCCAGGAGCCCTCCTGGCACACACACGGGTCCCTGCTGGGGCTCAGGGTGGCTTTGAGGTGAGGTGAGAGCCCACTGTCCCCCCAGCCTGAGAGCGAGTGCAGGGGCTGCGACGTGGCCCCCCGACCCTCGTCCCGGGGCCATTCCTGCTGGGACTTCACCGATGACAGCGACAGTGACAGCGACGACAGGGTCCCCAAGCGCTGCTACAAGGTACTGGGGTCCCCCACCGCCCCCTGGGCTGGGGTGAGGGGGTGTCCCCCAAATCCAGCTGTGTGTCCCCCCAGCTCAGCGAGCCCCAGGGCTTCCCCGGCTTCCTCCTCTTCCTCTGCCGCCTCCTGAGCCCCGTCCTGCGGAGCTACGGCCGGGCTGTGGAATTCCTGGAGAGACCCCCCTGGCCCCAGCCCGGTAGGACCCTCCAGAGTGGGGAACCCCTGGGGACCCTGGGGGGGCTGGAGCCCCCCAGGAGCTGGGATCTGACACCCCTCCCAATTCCAGAGGCAGACTACGTGGAGGCGCTGCTGGAATTCCTGGATGAGGATGAGGATGGTGAGTCGAGGGGGGCGGGGTCTTGCTTTTGTGGGTCACTGCCCCCCAAGACTGGGCTGGGGGTGCCCGTGGGGTGGGATTTGGGGGTTCCCTCGGGACTTCTCTCCCCACAGGGTATCCTGACAGGAGCCTGGCCCTGAGCTCCCTGCAGAGCTTCAAGGACATGGGGGTAAGCACAGCCACCCCCCAGCCCCCCAACATCCTGCTGCCCCCCCTGACCTCCCTGTGCCCCCCCAGGTGCTGGAGGAGCTGCAGACCCCCACTGGACCCCTCCTCCAGCTCTCCCAGCCTTTCCAGTCTGCTTCCAACCGGGAGAAGTTGAGAGCCTTCATTCACCAGTTCACCCAGTTGTAACCCCCCGCCCCAGAGTCATAAATGGGCCCAGGGACCTGATGCCTCGTGGATTTATTGGTCCCGGGGGGTGGGGGGGAGGTTCTGTCTCTCCTTCCCTCACCTGGGATGGAAAATTCCATCATTTCTGGTGGTGGTGCCCAAGACAGCTCCAACCAGCACATTTCCCCCCAGCCCTTCTCTGCTCACTAACAGCAGGTCCAGTTTTCAGTAAAAACACTGGGATAAATCAAACTCTCTAACGCTATTTTTTTAGTATTAGAAAGCAGGCATTAGTTTAGTCACAGTGTTGGGGTGCATGGGGATAGTTCCACTCAACATGCCCACCCACTTTCAAAACTTTTCATTATTTATACATTTTTAGCAAAGAAATTAATGTTCATTGGTTATGTTAATTAAGTAGTATTCTATATTGGTTATTACTTTCTCACTTCTTATGCTAATTAGTCCACATTTTCAGTCTTTTTATTATCTTTTTCTCAGATTGGGAGCGTTTCAGTAGACTGATTCTGAGTTCTCTTTGTTAGTGGATTTATTGATCCCACAGGGGTGGGATCTGGGGGGTCTCTCCACCATCAGACCACGCGGTTGCAGATGGTGCCCAGCTCCTCGATCTCACACTGCACCTCATCCCCAGGCTGCAAAGGGGAAATGGTGGCATCTGTCCCTCGTGGGGTCCACTGTGTCTTCACTTGCCCCCCAGCCCCACCCAAGCCCCTCTTTTCCCTCACCTTAAGGAAGACAGGGGGTTTCCGAAAGAACCCCACTCCGGCAGGAGTCCCCGTCAGCAGGATGTCCCCAGGGACCAGCGTCACGAACCTGGGGGCACACAGGGGGTCAGCTGTGACCCCCTGGGCTCTGGGGGTCCCCGGCTCCCCGTTCCTACCGGGACACCCAGGCGATGAGGGTGGGCACCCCGAAGATGAGGTGGTGGGTGCTGCTGTCCTGCATCGGGCGCCCATTGACGCTGCAGCGGATCCACAGGTTGTGGGGGTCTGTGGGAGGGGGCACAGGGGGACACGGGGACAGTGCCACCATGAGCCCCACCTGGGGGAAAACACGGGGGGTTTGGGCAAATGGGGGGGTGACACCACCAGTGTCAGCTGGGAAAGAGTCCCTGTCCCATCCCATTCCTTTTCTCATCCCATTTGTGTCTCGTCCCCATCCTGTTCCCATCCCATCAGTGTCCTGTCCTTGTCGTGTCTCCATCTCTATCCCCCTCTGTGTTCTGACTGTCCCCACCCATCCCTTTGTCTGTCCTGTCCTCATCCTGTTCGCTTCTGGTCCTGTCCCCATTCCATCCCTGTCCAGATCGCATCTATGTCCTGTCTCCATCCTTGTCCCCATCCCATTGCTGTCCTGTTCTTGTGCAGTCCCCATCACTGTCCCTATCCTGGCCCATCCTGTCCCCATCTCTGTCTCGACTGTTCCCAGTCCTCCCCCGTCCCATATCCATTGCTGTTCTGTTCCCATCCCATCCCTGTCCCATCCCCATCCACGTCCCCACCTTTCACCGCCTCCCTGGTGACAAGGGCGGGCCCCAGGGGACAGAAGGTGTCGAAGGTTTTCCCCAGCAGCCACTGCCGCCCGTTGCGCAGCTGCCAGTCCCGGGCGCTCACGTCGTTGGCCACCGTGAACCCCACCACGTGCTCCAGGGCTGCCGACTCCTGGGGGGCAGCGGGACCCCCTTACAGGGGACACACACACACAGGGACCCCCCAGGCGAGGTGTGGGTGGGGCAGGGGGTACCTCGATGTGCCGCCCCCTCTTCCCGATGACAGCGGCCAGTTCCACCTCCCAGTCCACCTCCTGCGGGGACAACACGGTGGGTTGGGGGTCCCGACCCCCAGGGGGGCTGCGGGGG